AGCTTTGTTCCCATGGTGTTAAGTCTAAACCATGGAAGAGGATTCTGGGTGGGTTGTAGATAGTGGCTTCAAATATTTTTTTAATGTATGTAATTCTTGAATCAATGTTCTCTACAACTGGCTGCTAGTAGCTCAACACTACCCTCCCCACCATCCCTTACCATACCTGACCCTAGCTGCCCAATAAATCACTCCCATTTTATGCCAGGTCCAGTATGTGTGTCAAGACATAGTTATGACATAGTGTGATGGTTATGAGCTGAGGTTTTTGGACTCCAGCACTTCAGGGATGAAACCATTCATACCAGTTCATGAAGGCTTCTGCAGATGATATGAGAAATAGATATAAAGCACCTTGCACAATTTCTAGCATATATTAAGCACTCAAAGATCATAGTCATTATCATTAAGACTATTAACTTTGAGGTAAAGAATTACTTCATGAGTATTATAACTTTTAATCATAGGTGGATGGAGTTTTGTCAGTGTTTATTGTGGCAACCACTATAAGGTCTTTACATGGCCTTGAAACCACTTAACATACATATTTTCAAAGTATTGAAGTAATTTGAATAATTTACATGTATTTATTTAATTAATTTTTTTAGCTGGACCAGGGTTTGAACTCAGGGCTTTGTACTTATAAAGCAGGTGCTGTACTGCTTGAACCATGCTTACAGTCTATTTTGCTGTGGTTATTTTGAAGATGGGATCTTGTGAACTATTTTCCTGGGCTAGCCTTGAGCCACAATCCTTCTGATTTCTGCCTTCTAAGTAGTTAGGATTACAAGTGTGAGCTACCAGCACCTGGCACATTTATTTTTTAACTTTATCAACTCCCTTAATATTTTCACATAATTTCAAACTGGTATTCCTCACTTTTTGCTTTATTCAGTCTTCCTTTACTCTGTGTTTTTAAACATACTTTCTTGTATAGATGTGACAATTTTTTTTCTCTTTCAAGGTAGTTTTGTCCTGTATGATTCTTTGGGTTCACCATTCAAATTAGATCATTGATCTTTTTATTTCTAGTCTTGATTTCTTCTGCAACCAAGAAAACAAGATAATGTGCTTCATTTTCTCTTTAGAAATTAAATGTAAGAAATATTTCAGGGGGTTTCTTCAAGAGACTTCCTAAGCTCCAAGACCTCACCAGTACCTCTCCTCTCTCAGAAACAAGGGTAAAAAGAGTTAAACAAAGTTGTTGTTTGCTGAAATCCAGCTAAAATTGCTTAATGCATCCATTCCACATGATGGATTTTCTTGTCAGGAGAATTCAACCTACTAGCTTGAATGGACACTATGAATATTCACCTCTGTTACCCATGCAAGGCAAAACTGATTAAGATTCTGTCCCCACCTTCCTCTTCATTTAGGCAAAGTGGTTTGGGCTGTCACTGCTAGTGAAGGTATGGAAACTCCAAAATGAAACTCAGGCAAGGCAGCTTATCACAAGAAAATATGAATAGGAAAGATATTAATTTCTCATGTAGACTTGAAATGACTTTAACAACTGGATGAGACAAAGTATGTTAAATAAAAGGATTAGTAAATAAAGAGTCCAAGGACAAAATGTGTAAATGACTTCAGAGAGCAAGGACATGTATGAGGTCCACAGAGAAACCACCATCTCCCAGTTTCCTTAATATAGGCCTAAGGGTAACTCCAACCTTTTATTCCTCTGCAAACCCCCCTATTCAAACAAGGAGATGTTTTATTTACCATATTGTAAGAATAAGTTAGATAACTAGAAAAGGATTCCCCCATATGGGTTTGAAACTATCATCTTAATTATTAAATACAGAACTTCATTTGATCCCAGTCTGTAATTGCTCCAGGAAATCCAAATAGATAAAAGGTTTGTATGGTAATGTAGAATTTACACTTCCACAAAGCCATGAAAAGGCAGACACAATACCTCAGCTGGATTTGTTTCAATAAATTTCTCCTATGCCGAAAAGAGAATCCCACTCTGAGAGAACAAAAAGAGGAACTATCAAGGTTAAGTTGCTTTTATGATTAATTCCTAGTGACTGATCTCTGAATATTTGAATGGAATAAAATGGATTCTTTTGCCCTAACATGATTAGCTTATTTTATATTAAATGTTTATATGAGAGTTGAAGCCTATGAGGAGAATCTTATTTCCCTTATTTTCAAATTCTTGAAAGATATCTTTCTATTGTCCTCCACCAACAAAACATTTTGGGCACAGTTTTATTTTTGGCTATAGTTACTTAAAACAGCCCTTGCTTGTAGTTGTCCAAAAAATATATGGAGGCATTAAGATTGAGTGTGACTGAGTCTATAGGTTAGAAAATGTGCAACTATTAAGGTAATGCAGAGAACCTCGTCCCATCCTAAAATACTGGATTTTGAAATCCTTCATCCACTGAACAAATTTAAATACCCTAAAATAAAATTGTAGGCTAGGATTAATCCAAATACTTCTGTATTATTTTATTCTTCAACTTGATGATAAGAGGCACAAAGATGAAGTTGGAGGTCTTCAGGAAAACAATGTCTTAGAATTAAGACAGAAGTTTCCCATGACATCAATTTTTCTTTCCCTATGATTTGAACTTAATGATTACCAAATTTGATGATTACTGAATAAATGTTTGCTAGATTGCAGAAACATTTTTTTATTGTCTTATTTTACTTTCCCATAATAAAAACCTCACTCTCTACCAATTGATTGCATTTTATTTAAAATTTTGACTCACCATCCATGACGCAGATAGTAACTGGTACATACACCACAATGTCCCAACCTTCTCTGATCCTTCCTGGTTTGTAAGACTAAGGTAATTCGTGAATACAAAGCACCAAGACTGCGCTTTTGCAATTTTCCTGTTTCAGCATGTCTTAAGCAACATGTGGCTTAGTGGTTTAATCAAGTTTGAGAGTTAGGTATGATCCGCCTCAATCCTGTCTGTCTACCTTTGACTTTTGAACTTGCTAGATCACTGTGAGTCATTCATTAAATAGCTCAGTGTCCTCAGAATTCCATATAATAGAAGTAGATTGAAAAAACATTGTTGCCTTGTCATCTGAGATTTCTTTGAATATCAAGTAGTTTAACATGGTTAAATTATAACAGGAACTCAACCGTCATATCTTTTAACCTCCAGAAAACATTTTTAATGATTAGTGATTATTAAAGGTCTAGAAATCATAAGCTGAGATTTTATGAACTGCTTGAGTATAATAATTGGAAAAATTGTCAGTGTAGTTATGAGCATCAGGAATATGAATATTCTCAATTTGTTAGTTATCATTGGAGAAATATTAACTATAGAAAATATCACCCCAAATATAATTGGTTAATATTTTGTGTCTCTTTAGAATCCATAGAAAATTTTGACATAAAGCTTCTGAAATGATGAGTCATAAAAGTATGGCCTGTATTAATAATGACTTTTATTCTCAACAAAACTCTGTAATATAGTACGCACAAGCAGTATCATTCCCATTTTACTGATTGAACTCTACCACTGAATTAAATTTCTATTCATTGACAAAGAAATGGAGATACAGAGGGTACAAGTGTCTCAGTCAAGAGTACATTTTTTCTTGACTTTCAATTTCTTACTTGGTGAAATAAAATTATTTACGTATGTTCACTGAAGCCCAAACAGAAAGTTTAAAAGAAGGTATACTTCTAGGGAATTACCCAACCTCAGAGTCCTCAGCTCTTCCAGTGTTATTCTCCTATCAGTATTTTGAAAATACTAGCCGATTAATTCTCAAAAATATAATTCAACTGTTAGCAGCTGATAGAAGAAGCATATTGTCTATAATCTGGACAAGTGTATATACTCAATTCTAGTATAGAACAAAACCAGATTGTTTTATTTTCATTAGTTAAAAGGCTTGATTTATTGTCAAATAGCACATTGTAGACTTCCAACTTAATATTTCTTAAACGAACTAGTGAAATTTGAGCACTAAAACTTGCCTGAGGATAGAGAGGGTAGAGGACACCAAGGTAGGAGGGAAGACTGAAAAAGAGGGCCAGTTGACTTGGTACCTAGATAAGCTACTGAGCAAGCATATGGTACTACTAGTTTTCAACCCAAGGAATTTCTAGACATAAATTTGGGTTGATTTTCTTAAGCAAGCTTGTTTTAATAGAACCAGAGTTTCAGACACTCTGAGTCTCCCTTTGGTCAATTATAATTTAGCAAGAAAGCTTGAATGTCTTGCCTTTATTTCTGAGTATCTTGCTTTTGACTTAATAATAAAAAACAATCTAAGATAGATTAACTGTATTCTAGGTTGTAGAGACTTTGAATACTTCATTTGAAGGGATCGTTGATCTGTTGCTCATCACTGGAACAGCAATTATCAGGATATGGGCTTATATTTTATAGCAGAAAGACATCTGGTTAATTGAAAGTTCATTTAATTGATTTCTTTGTTAATCAGGGCTTTACAACATAGTAACACACTTTATCTTAAAAAATAACATATTCATAACCTGGATTCATATTCCTATTTATGCATAAATTAATTTTATCTATACTCTAAAGTATAGGTAAAATTATATGTATATACATGCTTTATGTAGGATTAGTATTATTTAAATTCTAATTAATTCTACCTTCTAATGTTTATTTAGAAATGTAAAATTGAATCCCCTAAGCAATCTCTAATTTTTAAACAACAAGAAGCCAGCATCCCAAGCTTTGTTTCATTTGTTGGTTCAGACATGGTCCCTACTACCCATAGAATGAGTTACAATTGTATTTTTATGTTAATTGAGAACATGAGTTTTGTTTTGAATTCATTATGATTCTTCTGATCACATGTCAAAGTGTAAGATTTGGGAACCTATCTCACAGAAAGTAGCAGAGGCAGGCCAGTAAAGAGTTACCAAAGTATTACAGTAAGAAAAAAAAAAAAGAAAAAACTTTTAGCCGTGAAGTGCTGAAGTCACATCCTGACCAAAAGAAGGAAGTGGCACATTGCTGGGCTCAAAGTTATCTGATGCTGTACATCACAGACAGCAACTGCTGACTGTTTTCAGTTGTTTCTGTGACAGCAGGAAGTGCACTCATTAGGAGTAGTCTGAATTCAAAATGCTGAAGAGAAAACCATCTAACGTCTCTGAGAAGGAAAAGCATCAAAAACCAAAGGTAAGATACTTTTGCAGATAGTTACATAAAATCAAAACATTTAATAGAAAACACGCACAGACACACACAAATGTACATAATATCGATCAGTCATAAGTCAACTCAAACATAAAATGGAGTGTCTCATAGTAAATATGGAAAAATTCAAATCTATGATTTTGTTTTGTAATTTGATCATTCACATCAGTGACTGAACTTAGAGTTCAGATCATCAACTTTATGGAAATCAATTTGGTAGTCTTTGTTCAAGAGGCTAATGTTATGAAACTTTCACGTTTTTCAGACTATGAGTTTGTCAATGTCTCTTTAACAATCTACTGAATGAATTTTATCCCTAAAAGTTTAGCTTTTCTTGATGCATTTAATAATACAAAGGGTCTAATTGGAGATGTTTCAATTGAATATTTGATTTTTTAATTTTTGAATGTCAAAATATAATACCTTGTTGTACAGGTGTGAGGATTTGCCTATGTTTTGAGAGGCATCAGAACCTCATTGATTGGTAAATTTAAGTTGTTATTATGTAGTACATTATTCTGTTCTTTGTCTTAACAATAATTGACACTTAAAAAAATAGGACATGGGATAACAATGTCCTGTTTGAACATTCTACTGTAGAACTTTGAGTAAGTTTCATTAATAAAATAAAAATATGTATGACATAGTGATGTCAGAAAATACCACTAACACTTGTATATTTCTTGAGTTTCTTAGGTAAGTAAAATTTTAATCTCTTTGTAAGATACATTAATAGTGAACTCTGATGTCTTCTTAAATAATTGATTTATTGTTTGTGATTAGCCTTTATTTGGTAGGCATTCATTTTCAGAGAAATGACTTGGGAATTGATTGTGACCTTTTGAATTGAAGTAGCACTGAACAGTGATCAATATTTTGAAACTCTTTGCAAGTTACTATGCAACATCACTAAAGGAGACTAAAAATATATTATTTCTAATCCTTGAAACCTAAGAATAAATTACTTTCAATATTAATTCTTTCTGATATAAAATATTATAAAGGCTAGATAGCATCTTTAGTTAAAAAAATACAGTTGGATAGTATATTGTTTCTATCTTCTCCCCTACTAGTTTCAAAATTCCGGTAACATTTTCCATAGAGTACAAAATTTTTTTAAATGTATAACTTCTACTTCTACTAAGGATTAATATTATATAAAATTAATCTGATTAAATATAGCAAATATTCAGTTTATAAATAGTACATTTGGGGTAGATGACAAAAGTAAATGATACAATAGTTTTCCTCAAGATATTTAAAATTTAAAGTTAGACTATCTTATAATGAATGTATTATGTAATAAGTTGCTATCAAATTTATTTCATTAAACTTCTTTCAAAAATGATCCTTTATCACCACATTTGTCAATTGCATGTAAATTACATGTTATAATGTATGTAAAATATTGTCCATCTTATTGACTTCCTCATTCATAAGATGAAATACATTTGACAAAATATACACTAGAAGATAAAATATATCACAGAAAATAGTAGCACTGAAAACACATTAATTTTCTGTAAGTGAATTCTCATTTTTTTCAACAGTTTCATTTTTTCTTATATTTCTATGTCAACTGGATACTTTCTTTTTAATATGAAAGTAATATTTTTCTAATTATTATAATCGTATCTTAGAAACAACTTCTCTTAATTTATATTTATTTTATTGTATAATTTTCTTTGTATATTTTATGGATAGAGTATCAATTCAGTAACTAATAGCAAAGTTGGATGCTATTTTTTTTACAAATACTAAAGTATGTAAAAAGTGCCAATATTAAAAATGAGAAAAACATTACTTAATCTTCTAGCTCATTTAAATTCCACAGGGCTGGTGATTTTGCTAAGTGGTAGAGTGCTTGCCTTACATGTGTGAGGCCCTAGGTTCAATCCCAATCACCATAAGCGCATAAAATTTGGCAAAATCCCATGGGTGAATTAGTACCCAATTCAAATGCAATGCATATTATACTTCATGTTACCTCAAATAAAAACTATGAAAATTTAAAAAGAAAATCAATGGGAACTAAATTATAGTTAGAGAGATATAAGATGCTCCACTGTGCTATTGTACACTAGGATGACCTTAAGGATAACAAACTACATTTCAAACGCTGGAAGAAAGGAGTTTGAATGTTTTTCAACATAAAAATTATGTTTGAGGAGATAAATATATTTAGCTCGATTTAAACACATGCACAATGTGTATATACATCAAAATATCACATGAAGGCTTGCATGTGCTTCAAGTGATAGAGTGCTTGCCTAGAATGTGAGAGGTCTTGAGCTGAATCCCCAATTCTGAAAAAAATCACATGACATCCCATAAATATGTATGGATTTATTTTAGGTCACAGATAAAAATAAATTAAAGAAGATAGTAGACTCTGTTATTAGTGTTTTAAAATAGGCTCTACAGTTGTGAGGTTAGAAATATTTGTGAATATACTTACAGTAATAGATTTTATAAGGATTCTATATAAAAATAATACATAATTTTCTGATATTCACAATATTTACCAATAAACATATTCACTAGTAAAAAAGTAAATAAAAACACATGTTGAGATAGAGTTTTACCATCTGTAATTTTATCACTAGCATGACATCATTATACTTTATTCCTTTGTTTCTCTATTTTACTATGGATCCTTTCCTCTGAATAGCATCTAAATACTACCAGTATCATTCCAGTTTGTTATAAGGAGTTCATAGCGTAGGTCAAGATTCAGAAAACAGAAGTCTTCCACAAAGGAAATGGTAAAATCTTTGGGGAATTACTATAAAATAAATGTATTATATATACTGGAAAGTTAATAAATTCTAATAAATTTAGTTTGTGTCTCAGAACATTTTATGGTATACAGGTAATTCCAATTTAAAATGAAATTTGTTGAATGGCTGTTTTCTACATTCATTTATATTAGTTAAAAAACAACCATGTTAACACACAATATCTTCCTTCTCAGATTTTTCTTTTACCTTTTTACAACTAGTGCCAACACTGATGATAATTTTAGAAACTTTTAAGCATGTACAAAACTCAAATTTGTTGAAGTATTATCTATATTATTGATACTATATATAAATACTAAAATGATGGGACATAGCATTTCTTGGGCTTTTTTGACTAACGCTTTATTTTTATTATCTAAACTTATGACATATCATTGAGGTTGTTTTCAGAGATTTTTGCACACTAACTCAATATTTGTGATGTCTCTGAGAATGGCACTTATTTAGTCCCAAAAATGAAGAGCCTTATGCATACAGATTAGTTACATTAGACAGTTATCTCCCTTAAACAAAGATACATAGTTAGATGAAGAATAAAACTGTGTCTTGTGAAGTATATATCATGTCAATTTCCATTGTCACAATGTTTAATTATCAAGTTGCCCTTATAAACAATAGGACTATAAGTATTATTTCTGTTTCTGTATTATTGTAAGGCAAATTTAAGAAGACCAAATCTTTAAGGGCTTTTGTAATTTGAATAGAAATTTAGGGGTTCTCCATTCCTTTTTCCATCTAAATGCAGGAAATTCATCCATGAAATCTCTCTAGGTGTCTACCCAACTTTCAACACTTAGCATTATAAAATAACTTTATTACTACTCAAATTGTTAAAAATTGTGACCTAATGTTGACATAAGTTTAACCATATATCTTCTTTCTGCACCTAGTATAGCCCTTTCAAGGTAGGAGGCTCTCAATAAGTAATTGCAAAGTAAATGTTTCTTATGTCTACCAAATGAAGTCTGGTTCAATGATGGATACTCACTAGTGCTATGTACTTTCATTATTCTTGATAGCAAATCTGTTCATGTGTATGTAAGCAAGTCTGTGCATATATGTATAAATATAATTGTAATTCATTTTTAAGTTTTCTTTTAAAAAGAAAACCATATGCCAATTACTATTTAAGAATCCCTAGAGAGGCTCATTGTTACATAATAGTACAAAAGTATACCAGCAAAAGTGCTCCAGGTTTAAAGAATATGGTAGAAAATTAGAAAACAAAAAAGAATAGACTCCACAAATGAAACCTGATAACTGTAATTAGAACAACTTGGCCTTTATTTGGTAGGAATTAATGATCTGTGTTAATAAATTTTTAACTGAGGTTTTCTTTGAGTTAGGAGAGATTTCAGTACCCTGTTATTGTAAATGGAAACATTGGAATAATGGAACTTCTTGAAATAGCTTTTTTTAATCTAAAGTGCATACTAAATGAGACACCATTAGTGTCACAGATGCTAATTTTCACTAGCAATGACTGAAGTGGCATTCTTTCCCATTTGCATTTGATCCTAGCAATGATGAGAGGTGATGAGTTGATTATGAGCTGTTTTCACTGCACTGCCCGCTGTGCAAATTTATGCTCCTAGACAAGGATGACACATAGTTGTGGCATTAAAAGAGCCTTCTCCCTTGCTTTTTGTATCAAGACTGTTAAGATACATTTAACTCTTATTTTACCAGGTGCAAGAAAGGGGAGATGTATTTCTATGCACTGGTACTTACTCAGGGCCAGACACTTGCATAAGGAATTCATGTTTATTATTTTTAAATCTTCTCAAGACTCCTTTAAGATGGACAATGGTTTTTTTTTTTTCATTTTTCTTTTATTATTCATATGTGCATACAAGGCTTGGTTCATTTCTCCCCCCTGCCCCCACCCCCTCCCTTACCACCCACTCCACCCCTCCCGCTCCCCCCCTCAATACCCAGCAGAAACTATTCTGCCCTTATCTCTAATTTTGTTGTAGAGAGAGTATAAGCAATAATAGGAAGGAACAAGGGGTTTTGCTGGTTGAGATAAGGATAGCTATACAGAGCATTGACTCACATTGATTTCCTGTGCATGGGTGTTACCTTCTAGGTTAATTCTTTTTGATCTAACCTTTTCTCTAGTACCTGTTCCCCTTTTCCTATTGGACAATGTTTTTTCAACAAATTATAGGAAGGCAAACA